AATATTCTCTCTGACTGCAATTCAATTACTCATTACCCTCTTGTCCCGTCACGTTGTGAACGTCTTATATATACAAGACTAACACATATCTAGTAAATGCTAGGGAATTCTTGAAGTAACAGGATATTTCTAGAAAGAGGTAGCGTGATACTAGTCACATTGTGTCGGTAAAGTTTCGTCGGAACGAAGTTACGGAAAGTTAATTAACAGACGGAGACGTAACAATATTTAAACACAAACAAACACTGAAAACGTACACATAATATTAAATTTAAAAAACGGCCCTGGAAAATTTCAAACTTTTCCAAACGCTATCAATAAACTACTTGACAATCTTGATTATTGTTAGAAAAGAAATGAGCAAAAACAATTTGGATAAAATGTAATAAAGGATAAATATACACATCTAAATAAACACTTTATTATGCTTTATTATGTGGAACATTGTATTTGCGCATAACGAAGAACATCTATCATAAACGTGACACAAAATAAAATACAATAAAGTTTTTACTTAGTCGTGTTGGGCGCTGAATTATTTGAGTTTTTCACGTAGTAAAGTATTTGGCCCCCGGTGGGACAGCGGCAAGTCTTCCGATTTACAACTCTAAAATGAGGGGTCGATTCCAGATGTGGCTTTGCTATGAGAAAACACACACACGCAAAGTAATTAGCGAAACATACGAAGAGGGGGCGCTAAATTAGTATAGATTATATAGCGAAAATAACATAAGATCGTAGAAGTTAAAGACGTAAACATATTTTGTTAATAAATTATGAGAACTAAACTAGAAAAATAATAACTGTTAATAATGTGATGATTGAGGTTAAATTTTGAAAGTGAAATTTGATGCTGATACTACGACTTCAGTGTCGGACATATCGCCGGGTATTTTTTATGTGTGTATATTTTTGACAGATGATACATTGCTCTAACTAAAAAGTTAGATGACATTTTGTTTTCTAAGCGTAAGACACCAAAACTTCAAGTAAGATGCTTTGGTAGGTTTTCAATTTCAAAACTATGTGGTATAATGTAGAATATTTATAGTTTTATATCTTTCTCAGTTTACAAATACGAATAATAATTAAACCTGGAAGATACAAATACATTACTGAATGAGTCACTTGTAAGTTGAAGCAATATTTAATTTCATGTTTTAGCTTTGTAATGATACCGGATTATTATGGAAAGATCAGATGCATTAGTGTCTCTTTTACTGTTGGTCGGTCAATAGGCAGTGGACAGATGCCTGAGGAACTTGCTTGTGCTAGTTCTATTTTTAAGGTGGATGATAAGTTTTGCCCATGCAAATTATAATCTAACTCGTTTTATTTCTGTAGTGTGAAAAATTCTAGAGGGGGTGATAAAAGAAACTTAGCATGAGTTCATGAACCAGGAATCTTGTCTTAGTTATCTGTTAACTTTCATGAAGGATATTACTTGTTCTCTGGGTGTAGTGTGCTTAAGATTCCCAAAAATATTTTGATGAGGTAATCTACAGAAGATAAACTCATAATGAAATAAGCTATACACTGTTATAGGTTTGATGTTTCTTTCGTTAACAGTATTGGTTAGAATGTTTGTGAGATACATCTGTTATAAGGACCATTTTACATTATTAGCTTATCATATGGATTTTAGACACCTAAACCTCTTATGCTGGCAAAATGTCACAAGATATTTTGGCAAAGAATATTGCTAACATAGGTACTCAACTGATGAAATGGTCCATTCTAATCATTAGTAGTAAAAGTAAAACATTATATTAAATTAGCTGTTCTCATCACTGGGTTAATTTTTATTTCTCTATTTAGGTAGTTTGTTGTGTTCAGTAGCAAATACCAAGAAAAATTGCATAGATTGAGGTTGGGAAGGACTACTTAATTAGATTGTAGGGTGGTTGGAGTTTAGAAAGCAAAAATTCATAGTAATAGAACTCAGTTAAACTGAATCCTTGTAACTTGTAGAGTACCCAGTATTTGGGCCTTTGCTTTTTCTTATTTACATTGATAATATTAATAGGGTCATAATTAGTGAATGATTAAACTTAGCTGATGACATGAGACTCCTGGGTGTTTCTAGCTATACTGATAATGTTTAGGTACTGCAGAATAAGTTATCAGTTAGTAAGTTGGACAAATATTTGGAAACCTGGCATCTTGGCTGCTATATTCACATTCTCATCCATCTAGATTTGTTAGTTGTAGTCTGTGTATCCATTTGGATCTTATTTTTCATGTCATCTTCATGATAATATTCTCATCCATCTAGATTTAATTATTTTTGTTAATTGGAATTCCTTTTGATCTTACCATATTTGTCCAAATATTCTGCACATCCAATTGTGAAAGGTTGTTCTTTTACACATCAGTTGAACAAAATGTATTGAATAGTTTCTAAATACAGAAACAACTATTTATGTATTAAATATTTTTGGAAATTATTTATTGAAATTTTCTATGTGTGAATTTTACAAAATTTATTGAAAAGTTTATATGTGGTAATACATTAAGCTCATCATTCATCATCACATAAATTTTGATCATCGCTACTGTCGGATTTACTTCCTTGAACCTTTGATTCAAATTCTTCTGATTCTCCCAGCATGTCATCATTCGTCCAATCCATTGCATTGGATATGCGACATTTTTTAAAACCTTTAATGATTTTCAGTGGTAGATCTGGTAAAATACCTAACAAAATTTAACAAGTGTGAATATAATGTGCAGTGAGTTTTTTGGAGGGAAAAAAGTAAACATTATATTTGGGTAAATACGATATTTTTCACATCATCATCATGGTGATAATTTATGTCTGTGTGGCTTGGCTTTACTCCATGATAACTTCTATGTTTTTTCGTGGCTGGCTTTCCCAAATCACATTATGATACACATGGGTGTGTTCTATACATTATTATCCATATTGTTTCTTCTCTGACTGTAGAGTGTAATTATGTCAGATCTAGAGATGGGTGATTAATGGAATTTTAAAAATCAATTAATTGTTGGACTCATTATTGTTTATTTTCAACAGAGACTCAGATAGTTGGAATAATAAAAATTAGTAGTAATTGGAAATAATAATATTGATTAGTTGATTATTTTGGAGACACTAACTTATTAAACTGAACAACCTTGAATTAATCCAAACTGATAATGAGAAATCATAATGGTAATATTTTGATTACTTATATTGTTGTGTAATTAAATACAGTAATAATAATGAACACTAATTTTAGTTAATATATTATTTTCATGACATTAATCAATTTTATTATAATTTTGATTAATTGATTATTGTACTTAACACTAGGTTTATTGATTGAGTTAATTGCTCAGCTCTAGTCAGGTCTGTATTGTCACAGGATCATTTTGAAGATCTTTGTTTACCATGAGTTGTCCAGTTTTGGTTACATCTTCAGGTAATGTTGAGTTATTGGTGCTAGACTAGTAACAGTCAACCCCGTCTTATTATGTATAGACATTCTGATAGTGATTGAACAGAAACTATACTACATTTGGGCCTTTTTTGTGGTACGTTTTTTCCGAAATGCTACTTTTGATGTTAGGATAATATTTTTGATTAGCTGCACATAAAATACTTTTGTGCTTTTGATATTTTCAGGAAACTGGTGAAATATTGATCTGTTGGAGATATAGGTGTTGAAATGTGTGTTCATGTATATCAGTTTGTTTTGGTTTCTTGTACTTTATACTGACTGAGCCACTGAAGTGTCAAATATCAATTATTCTGGAGACATTTGTGTGAAAAGACTTTTGTTTCCTTGTTTTGGAGCTTCTGTTTGGGGATAAACTCCTGGTGTCATAAAAATGGTTCTGTCTAAGATCCTTAAAGTCTGTTCTTAAATTAATCTCTCCTTCTCGTAGAATTCAATTTGTTTGTCGTTGTCCAATGAACAAACATGCTTTTCCAACTTTAACTTTGAACTTCCTTTTACCATCTTTTCCATGTAGCATTCTGTGGGACAATTCTTTAAAGTTATACATTTATTTTAAACTGAGGATGTTAACGACCTGACATTTATGCCCATGTTGTGTCTTATACTTTGTTTTTCTTGGTTGTACCTAAGTCACTTTCCTGTTGGTTCACAGTAACTTGAATAAGACTAATGTCTTGTGAAGGTGACTAAATATTTATGTTTTAGCTTTTCTCTTGATTGGTTATATTTTGATTCAGTTGGTTCCTGTTTGAGCTCATTAATTTTACTTTGTCTGGACTATTTCTTTTTGTTCATTTTTTGGAACTCCTTTGGGAAGGACAACTTATCCTTTACTACCCTTGCAAGTTGGATCAAAAGCCTTTGATGTGAAATGTGAGATCAGGGCCTTTTTTCTTAGTTTATATGTAGGCACCTAACATTATCTCTCATAAATCTGCTTTATCATCTTAGGACATATCTGAAGATGGTACATGGACATATCTAGATTCACTACTTTTATTTCCATCACATAGCCATCTTATCAGTTTCTAGATTCTTTGTAATGATTATAATTCCGAAACAATAAGGTGCTATAATATCTCTCCTATACATATTTTCTTGTTTTATTTTTTGTGTTTCCTGAGTATGAAGAGCCAATGTAGGTATTTTCTTCCATTTTGTTTTACCCTTGGATATTATTATTTGCATATGGATTCAACTAACTATTCTTTGTTGTTTTTTTTAGTTTGTATATTTGTTCCATCTCATCAGTTGTGTCATTAAATGGTAACTTTACCGGTATCCTGGTGTTCGGTAAAGTTTTGTGAGAGGAGATTGGTTCTGCATCCTAGACCCGCTTGTACATTATCTTGCTTGTTTTTACCATCACTGTTATTTTAGTTTGTATTATCTTAGTGTTTTTAGATTTTATCCTGACCAGTCCTTCTGTGTGACTTGATATGATCTCGATCAGGAAGTTTTCATTCTGTATTGTGGGAGTTCCTAACAGCCAGTCAATTCTAGCTTTTCATCTTAGACTCACTGTGAATAGGGATGTAACCACCCTGTTAAGTATTACTATTGCAGGATGTTAAAGGTCAACCAACAGGACTACTGAACCAGTATCTCTTTTGAATTAGCCATTAGGTTTAGGGAACCACTTTATAGTACTTCCTAGTTTCTGAGTAGGGAGCTAGAGGATTAGAAGAATGTGAGATCATCTTCTGGAGGAGCTAGAGGATCAGAAGAATGGGTGATCATCTGCTACAGGAGCTAGAAGATCAGAAGAATGGGAGATCATCTTCTAGAGGAGCTACAGGATCAGAAGAATGGGAGATCATCTGCTAGAGGAGCTACAGGATCAGAAGAATGGGAGATCATCTGCTAGAGGAGCTACAGGATCAGAAGAATGGGAGATCATCTGCTAGAGGAGCTACAGGATCAGAAGAATGGGAGATCATCTGCTAGAGGAGCTACAGGATCAGAAGAATGGGAGATCATCTTCTAGAGGAGCTACAGGATCAGAAGAATGTGAGATTATTTTCTAGAGGAGCTAGAGAATTATGTTACGTATCTGCTCGTTTGTTAATTTCCGGTATAAATTCTTTCCGAGGAACTTCAGTGATACAAGTCCTTTCTTAATTAAAACTAGTTTATTATTTCTTGATACAACTTTTTAGTACACAGAATTTCCACAGTCACTTTAAACTTAACAACCTTTATAACACACACACACACACACTATAAATCACAGTGATTCACACACTTTACTTACGGTGGCTACTGTTCGCTTGACTCAGTTATTTATATCTTCAATCTATCTACATATCTCTTCAATTGTGCTGGTTTTCTCGTCAGGCTTATATACTAAAAACGTGGGCGCCTCGAACCAACTAGAGTTGCCAGGAAAATTCATGATTCTTCGAGAAACTCCAGCGCACATGCTCCCAGCGTCATGTGACTTCCACTGTCGTAACACTGCCCCTTCCTTAGTATTGTTCGTTCCAAACAATAGCCACTTACATTAAACCAATAGATAATTTACAATAACTTGATTAAATGTACAGAATTTACAAACACACAATTAAAATACAACAAAGTCTCTTAATTTTACAGGACGTTTCTTCTTCTGTACTGGTTTCTGTCTCATTGGCTTCTGCTTCATGTGTGGTTTATTTGCTCCATCAGGAAATATCCCATTATTGGTAACAGTCACATCAGTGGTAGTAACTTCATTAACGGCTTCACTGTTTTCCTTCTCAAAACTGGGTAGAGTTTCTTCTGCGACGGTGGCTTTTTCAGGTGACACGTCTTCAGCAGCGTCATTTGTTCCATTGTTTACTTCGTTCCAACTGAAATGTCCTGGACCGTGATAACGCCAAAGCCTGTTGGCATTCACCACCTTTGGCTTACCTCGCCGACCACATTTTATTTGAAAAGTCACGTCTGAGAGACGATCCACTATGTCATACGGGCCTTCCCATGAAGAAGACAACTTAGGAGACTTCCCTTTGGTCTTCCTGGGATTATACAACCACACCCTGTCTCTCATGGTACAAAGCTAACTTCAGTAGACTTCTTATCATAACATAGCTTCATGGAATCAACAGAAGTTTTCAAGTTTGAATGCACTTGATGGTGGATATTATTCATCCTTTTCAATAACACTTTCATGAATTCTGGCACATTTTCAGGCAACTCTTTGTAAGGTGGGCGTCCTGTTAACAGATCTACTGGCAACCGAAGTTCCCGACCAAACATCAGCTTTGCTGGAGTGTATCCAGTGGTTTCATGCTCTGCTGTCCCATAGGCCATCAACAGTGGAGGGAGTAGACATCCCAGTCATCTTGGTGGCTATTACAGAACCTTGCCAATTCCTGTCCCAGTGTCCTGTTGTACTTTTCTATCATCCCATCAGACTGTGGGTGAAGTGGCATTGTCCTGGTCTTTCGTATGCCAAACAACTTGCAGAATTTATGGAACATGGCTGATTCAAAGTTATGGCCTTGATCTGAATGCAGTTGTATGGCATACCAAATCTGAAGAAGAAATCACTAATAGCTGAAGCTACAGTTGTACTTGTTTCCTGCACAAGTTTGGGGCAGAGGACCAGCAATGTCAACGGCTACTCTTTACATTGGTGCGCCAACTTGATATAACTTCATTGGAGCACGTCTCTTATGCTTGGGTCCCCTTTTAGCACAACATGTACTGCATGTTCTGCACCATTCTTCCACATCTTACCTCATGCTATCCAGTAAAATCTCGGTTGTAGGTGACTCAGTGTCTCCTTAACTCTGAGATGTCCTCCTGTTAAACTATCATGGGATAGATGCAGCACAACTTCCCGTAAATTTCTCGGTATAACTGTTTGCCAGGTTGTCACTTTCCCATTTGCAGTTTCTCATCAGGTAGCTCATTGTTCTCACTCTTATCTCTGTCGGCTTCTCCACCATTTTATCCATGTGAGATTCTAGTTATTTGTTCTTTAGAAAGATCAGTACTGTTTCTGAAGTTAAGATTTTCCTTACCTGAAAATACTCACATATCTGCAGAACTATCCACCCTTTTTGTTGTATTTCTTTTGCTGTTTCATGAATGAGATGTTCTAGTAAAGCTAGTGCTGATGGATTTACTGCACATGTACGATGTGTCACCCTCCTATTGATAGAAGGCTGTAGTCTTATAATGATAACATCCTGGCAGTTGTGTGATGTAATAGTTCTTTGATCTGTAGAGAGGTGAGTATCTGTCTGAAGTAGATTTTCAGGTGAGGAAAATGTTAACATTATGTCATGGCTCAATGAAAGAATGGAGTGGATTGAGATTGATGGAAAAGCTGTTTAGCTAGAGATAATTGTTTATTTTTATTCCATTTTTCTTTTAAAGATATCAGTTGTACTAACAAATAATACAAAACTTAGTGAATAATGTAGTGATTAATACTAACAAGTAAATTCTTTTTTGTGTGGTGTAATCTATTTTGTAATATAGGAGGCTGTGATATCACTGGAGTTACACGCGTGTTGAAAAACTTGACCAAAATTTCCAAGAAACAAATAGATGGGGACCCGAGCTGCAGCGTGTAAGTATATACAATCTATTAATTATCTCTCAGCATTTACTGACTGCCATTTCTTGTGCCTCAGTATTTTTATTATTCAAATAGAACATTTTCAGTAAAGTGTTAAAGCAGAATATATGTTATTCACCATTCAAAATTTTCAGGTATTTAAATTTTTCAGATTCTTTCTGAACTTACTATACTCATTATTTCATTTGTAAGTTTTTTTTTTGTAACCAACCTACACAGATGTATTTTAGGCTTAATGCCTAAAATTGTAACAGTAAAATTTTGTTATAGTGTATTCTTCACTAATGGTTGTTTTTAGAAGTAGCATCCATTTTTGTTTTTCATAAACCAGAGTGTTTACATTCAAGTAAACCTCATCCTTCATGTAGAGGTGACAAAAGTATTGCTTTGGTTTGGAAGTCAAGTTTTCCTGGAAGGTCTTCATCTGTCTCATAAAAATTACTCTATATTAAAAAGTCACAATATAAATTTGAAAGTAAGTTTGTTTTTCTTATATTCACTGTTAGTGTTTTTCTTTTTTAGTTGCAGCTAAAATCAGAAACCTTCAGGACTACCACACAAGGATACTGAAAGGAACTGTTCCACTTCCAAATGGCATTGATGTTACTAATACTTTGAAATACTTTTCACAGACACTGTTAAGGTAACCACTATTTTAGCTTTTCATGACACTAATAAGGTAACCATTTAAAACATTTTTCACATACATTGTTAACTCATTCACTGCGGCTGGGATGTATATTTCCCAGTGCTCCCACCCCCTCACACTGTCAACTGTTTACGCCTTCCTCTGTTGGGTCCAGGTTCACCATCAGTAGATGGAGAGCTAGGATCCTCTTGTCTCTTCATCATCACACATTTCACTCACTTTCACCATCTTCTAAGCTATCTGAGTCAAGTGCATCAAGCATACTTACAAATAATTAGGGTTACTACTCGCTGCTCTAGTGATGCGGGCATGGATGGCATGCAGTTGTTGTACATGCTGCTTAGGCATCTTGTTGGTTACCGAGTGGAAAACATTGAGGGAAACCATATATCAACATTAGGTGGGATGTCACTAAATACTTTCCAACTCATTTTACTCCAATACATCATGTGCTGTAATCTTGGGAAAGATTTGTCCTAGTCGCAGTGTGAAGGGGTGAGAGCAGTGGGAAATATACATTCTAGCTGCAGTAAAAGGGTTAAGGTAACTATTATTTTAACGTTTCACAGAATTGTTAAGGTAACCATTGTCTTAACTTTCCATAGTCATTGTTAAGGTAACCATTGTTTTAACTCTTCACAGAATTGTTAAGGTAACCATTGTCTTAACTTTCCACAGACATTGTTAAGGTAACCATTGTCTTAACTTTTCACAGACACTGTTAATGTAACCATTGTTTTAACTTTCCATAGTCATTGTTAAGGTAACCATTGTTTTAACTCTTCACAGAATTGTTAAGGTAACCATTCTCTTAACTTTTCACAGACAATATAAAGGTAACCATTGTTTTAACTTTTCACAGACAATGTTAAGGTAACCATTGTCTTAACTTATCACAGACAATATGGTAACCATTGTTTTAACTTTTCACAGACAATGTTAAGGTAACCATTGTTTTGACTTTTCACAGGCATTGTTAAGGTAACCATTGTTTTAACTTTTCACAGACAATGTTAAGGTAACCATTGTTTTAACTTTTCACAGACAATGTTAAGGTAACCATTGTTTTAACTTTTCACAGGCATTGTTAAAGTAACCATTGTCTTAACTTATCACAGACAATATTAAGGTAACTATTGTTTTTTGAGGGGTGTTCTTTCTGGGGTGCATAGTTTTATTTGGTGACTGATGGGACAGTCAAGTTCTGAAGATACAGTGTGTTTATAAACAAGGTTTGGCTATACATGTATTCCCCAAGATCTTATTACAAGTGTGTTTAAAATATATAGTTCTAAGGGTGCTTAGCTTTTTAACATCAAAAGTTACAAATTTACAAAAACCCTGACTTATAACAACAACAGTAAAAACATTGGTATATAGTGTGAAGTCTGTTGCCATGAGATACTCCCTCTGCTCTGTGGAAAGAAAAACCCTGACTTATAACAACATCAGTAAAAATATCAGTATGTAGTGTGAAGTGTGTTGCCATGAGATACTCCCTCTGTTCTGTGGAAATAAAAACCTTGACTTATAACAACAACAGTAAAAA